TCAAAAATGGATTGCTTCATGTGATGTTGGTAATGAGAGTTTAACTTAAAAATTAATTAGTTTTACTTGAGGGCAAGCAAAAGATAAGTGTGGGGCATTTGATATTGTCATATTTATACACATTTTTAGGCAATATTTTAATACATTTTGATTAATATTTTGGTTATTTGCAAAGATAAGTGGTACTTTATAAGATTGAATTGTATTTTGCAGTCAAAAGGAGCAATCTTGAAGAACAAGGACCAAAAGCGACAAGTGGCAGAATTTTGGAGGATTAAATAATTAAGGAAAAGGAAATCCCAGCGAAAAGCTAAATCCACGTCGTGGACTTCAATTACACGACGTGGTGTTAGTGATTCTAGAAGATGAGTACACGGAAAGTCAGAGTCCTTGCCCGATAAGGATTCTTCCTAATTCACGATGTGGAGTCTTAGTCCACAACATAGAGTGCAAAAATCACGAAAACTATATATATCCTTGGTATTTACGATTTTAAGAGGACTTCTGGAGATTGAGAATGTTAGAAGACGATTTCTGGAAGAGTTTAAGGCAAAGATTTCAAGCATTAACATCCAAGGAAGAAGAAGGAGTAGAAGATCACAAATTTTATCTTTTAATTTGGTACAATTGACTATGTTTTTATTTATCGAGTTTGAGTGTTTGATTTCAGCCATGAGTAGCTTAATCTAGCTACTTCTGTTTAGCTAGATGAAACTTCAAGTCATGGTTTAGTTATTTAGTTATGGATTTCGCTAATTGATTAATTGCTTGTGTTTGATTGTTAATACCTAACATGCTAATATTTGATACTTAAATTGCTTGAAATTCATGTTCCATGTAGCTTAGTGAACAATAAATTGCATGAACTTGAAACCTAGTAATTTAGTGGCCATTAAATTACTAGAGCTAGGATCGAACCAATCTTAGATAAGTAATGTAACGCCCGTAAATCCAGGCTAGTCAATTTAGAGATAATAGGGGTCGAAAACGACTTTTCGACAAAAGATTATTTAGAATAAATAATCTTAACCAAGTTGAGAATATGTCTCAAGGGTTCCGTACATATAAAGAACGTCGAAATTCGAGTTATAACGAAGAAGTTATGACCCGTCGAAGTTTCGCGACGGAACCGGCACGACACCGGGAAGCGTAAATAGTGAATTTAAGATACAGCGATTTTTAGCCTTAGCGATCTAAACAAAATTCGTAGTGTTCGTTAAACCGATAGCGTCCATAAAAAGAACGCCCAAATCTGACTTCGTATGAGGAAGTTATGATTTTTCGAAGTTTCGGCTTAGCAGTGTACAGCCCGAAGTTCAAATATTAGATCGAGCAGTTTTTAGCCGACACAACCTAAACGAGAATCGAAGATCTCGTTAATAGTAGCGTAACGATAAAAAGACAGACGAAAACGGAGTTAAAAATAATAACTTCTAGAAAAATATAACTTCTAGAAAAATGAAGGAGTTATGAATTTTTAACGGACCAATCCTATCCCGGCCTGTTAAAAATATAACTTCTAGAAAAAAGTCAAAATTAGCCAACGGAGTCTAAATGAAAGTTGTAGAGTACGTTCCCGCCTACGCGTGGATATAAAGAACGTCGAAAACGGAGCTCTTATGTGAAAGTTACGAATTTTTAAAGTCGAGTGTGCAATTTGCGAAATTTGATGCAAGATACGATGACGTGGCACGATCCCGGCCTTCCCTTGCTCCCCACGGTCTCGCTTCGGATGAAGGACACGTCGCCTCGCATTACGTCCCGCGTCCGAGGATGAGTACGCCCCGCGTACTCCGGCCTTATCCCTTCCGAGTCCGAGTGCGAGCCAGCTGTACGCGAGCTGGAGCCCTTATCCGATCTACGCCCCGCGTAGCCAAGGATTACGTCCAGCGTAGTCCGAGGCCTCGCAGGCTATAAAAGGGAGGCGAGAGTTCTGGATTTTTCACACCTTTCTCACTTCTCTCTAACTTCTTTCTCTCTCTAACCCATTCGAACCCTCCTAAACCCTAGGGAACCTCCCTAGCACCCGAAAGAAGCCCCGAGGCTCCCGGAGTCCCGAGAAAAAGGGTCTTTCGGTTCAGAAACGCTGCTCTAAGCAAAGCCCGGTTTTCCTTAAAATCCGCTATAAGTGAGCTACGCCTACGATATTTTTAATATAGCTTCTAATTAATTATAGTAACATTATTAGGACCTTAAAATAATTATTTGGGCTATTATTATGAGTTATATAGAGTGTTATTCAATGCTTATATAGTAATAATAATAGCTAGACTATTAGTTAGTCGCGGTTAACGTTAGACTAAACCCTAGTGGTATTGATACTAGGTTTTGTCGAGGGAAACTTATTTTGAGATAACGAAGCGCTGTTCGAGTACAGAGTCACCACCTTTCAGGTGTGTACATAGTTACTTTCATCTTACACATAGATATGAAGTATTTTATTTAAATTACGTGCTATGTGTGCATATTGTCTGAATACTTGTTGTCTATGCTGTGTGAAAGATTTTTATACATGTTTTAAATGATTTAAGTTGTATATGTATTTTATATCTACAAATATGTTGGGTATAACATGGGTAGATGAATGATGAGGGACGAAAGTTGATATAGAGGAACATTGGTAGTGTGGACATAGTGCCCTATAGGTGGACATTGGCAGCAATAGACCTAGTACCCTATAGATGAGCATTGGCAGATGCGCCAGAACCTGTAGATGTTGTTGGATCTACGAGGTACTCTAAACATCCTAGCAGCTGCGCTCTAAGGATAGTATCGGCAGCTGCGCCTAATAGAGGACATTATAACCGTGACAGTAGCGTTTAAAAGACAATACCGGCAGAAGCGCCTCATAGAGAATGTCACAATTCTGGTAGCTACGCCTAAGTGATAATATTAGCAGCTGTGCTTGTCAACTGTAGCAACGTTGGACTTCGTGTTATTTCCTTAGGATGATCCTTAGGAATGAATGAACGAGGAATAGCTGATTCTTAGTGTAAATCCTTAAGAAGATAATGGGGATGGGTAATTGGGTTGATTGTTTGATGTTTAAACATAATAATTATATTATTGTGGGTTGAAAACCCTATGTACTCACCAGGTTTCCCAACCTGACCCACTCCAGCTTATTTGTATCACAGGTGTCGATATGAAGTTACATTACACTGAGAGATTAAGGAGATGTAAATCACTAGTGATAATGAATGTAAGTTCTGTTTATGCTTATGTTTCTGTATTGACAATGACATCCCAAATGTTTTAAAATGAATAAAAATACTTTTCTTCGGAAATGCTTGATAACGTATTTATTATGTTTTACTGGGAACAAATTCCGCAACACTTTTATGTAAAATGTTACTCTGATTTTCAAACAAGCATAAATAAAACCGGTCTTTTCTGGCCGTGAAAAAGGGGATGTCACAAGTAATTAAGGTTATTAAATTTGGTTGTGATGGAGAACATATATTATGATTATAATTATGTTTGTTTAATCAATCTTACATAGCTCCATTCATAATTCATAATTGATTCTGTGTTAAATTATGTGTGATCATGCATAGTTCTACATGATTAGTTAAATATTAATAGATTTGGACTTAAATTGCTAATAATATGATAATTGGTAACTAACATGAATTATCCATAATTAGTAGCTAACCATCGAGAAGAAGTGGATTCAAACTAAACAGAAGTGTTTTAGTCATGTGATGAATTTGATAATTAGGAGATTAAGTTTGTCAGAACTTGTAAAATCAGATAAAAAAACCAAATTACTTTTGCTTTACTTGAGCTAATTTTTGGTAGATAAATTTAGTTAGCTTAAACCGTTCCCCATGATCGATACCCGACTGTTTGTGGTATACTATTTGCGAAAAGGTACAATGCCTTAGTCGAATAGCTAGTTGGATAGTAGGTAAAATTAGGTGTAACATTATCGACATCACAAAGTCACCGAAAATATCCATCTTTTGGCCGCAACCTACAAAAGCAAGTCATAAGGACGAAAATATCCATATTTTGCAAAAACTACAACAGTTAACTTGTTGGTTTTGTAAATAATAATAATAATAATAATAATAATAATATTATTATTATTATTATTATTATTATTAAACAAATTAACTGTTGCATTTTGCAAAAAAATAAAATAAAAACTATAATAGCTAATTTACAAAACAAAAACAATATTACATTTTTAATTCATTTTCCTGTTATTGAATTACAAAAGGGATTGGAGATGCAAATTTAGACATTTTAAGATCAAAACCCTAAAACAGTTATGAAAACTAAAATACAAAACAGTTTTTTGGACGTTATAAATATATACAATTACTAAATTCTCAATGTGAGGGAGATGTACTGTAGCTAAAAGTACATCTCCTAAAGCATTATGTACAAGTGATTTTGTAATGCATATGGACATATGGTTTCACGTGCTCCACTTCAATTGTAATGCATCTGCCGCAATTTAATTTATTATTATTATTTTTTTTCATTTTCTCTCCTGAAAAACTACATAATCAATCAAATTCCGGGAGGCTTCATAAAGTGCTTCTTTAGGAGTTAAACTTCCATTTGTTCATATTTCAAATTTTTATAAATACACGTTGAAAGATCCGTTTGTACAATGGTACCGACCTCTATATTTTTTCTACGACCCGTCGCAATGCGCGGTGGGCAAACTAAAAGTATTTATACAACATATGTCATTAGCAGGGTTTTACTATCTTAAGCCACTAATATGCGTTTTTATTCCTTGAACAATTTTTTTGAGGGTTTCACTATTGTACACTGATATACGTATGACACTACAATAAACTGTGATATGTTATACCGATTTAATTAATTCTCATTCCTAATACGTAATAAAAACACATAAAAAACCGCAGCAAAGCGCGGACTCAAATACTAGTAAAATATAAAAAGAAACCAAATTTGTAAATTAGTCCAATAATTTTCTTCAAGTTAGATGATGGGCCGAAAGAGCCCACACTCGACATGAATTTGTGGAGACCGTCGGAAAAAATCCGAACCGTTGCTCATTGCAGTTGCTATGTAGAAGAAATTGACTGAAACGTAATGTCGGGAGAATAAAATTGCAAAACAGATCAGAACAAATCGCAACTCAAGGAAGAGCAGTCGGAGAGAAATGGGGACGACGACGGCACTGGCGCCGGGGCTGTCAAGAAAGCTGAAGAAGGTATTGGAAACTCGCACCGACAATCCAGATCTGCTGGCATCACTTAATACACTCTCCACTTTCTATAACGATAATACCGCTCCGGCTCGCCGTAACCTCCGATCAACTATCGAGAAACGTTCTCTCACCATTAACCATGACTTCCTCCTTGCTTCCGATGCCGCCCAGCAGGTTTGCGCATTACTTTCTGTTTCTCTATCAATCATGGAATCAATCGATCAATGTCATGTGTTAATTCTTTTATTTTACGGTTTTAGGCTTTGGATCGGGTGGAGGAAGAGGTTAATTCCCTAGCTGAATGCTGTGACAAGTGAGATATTCTATTCATCTTTCTGCTCTTCAAACAATTTTAAATCATTTCGATACCATTTCCTATCCTAAATTGAGCCACCGGTCGTTCAAAAAAAGTCTAAATTGAGCTACAATTCAATGATCAAACACACCACCTTGTAGTTTTAATTCTCGTGAAATCTAGATAAAATTGGAAAGAAGATCTGTTAGGAAATTAACAAGTACCCCTATAGTGCTGAATGCAACATCTTTCACAATTTAGTAGTCTTTGAAATAAACGAAATTCATCTTAAGGCAATAATAAATCGTGTTTTAAACCTTGCAGAATTGCTAAATCCTTGAATAACTGTAATGCTACTACTGGAGATATTATCACTACCACAGAAAGACTCAAACAGGAACTTGAAATCACCACTCAGAGGCAAGAGATTGCATCATGCTTCCTTCGAGATTATCAACTTTCCAGTGAAGAGGTGATAGTTTTTCATGCTGATATATTCTGATTCAACTGTCATTGAATTGCAAACTGAGTAGAATGTGATTGTAATTACTTCTGTAGATAAATGCACTGAGGGAGGAAGAATTGAATGAGAACTTTTTCAAGGCCTTGAGCCATGTACAAACCATCCATGGAAATTGCAAAGTCCTTCTCAGGACCCATCATCAGGTAACTCTTCTGCATAGCTCCCCCATAGACAGGGAGGCCTTCTTTGCTACTTGAAAAGATTTTTTTGGATGAATTTTATATTCTGTATCAAATATGAAGGGTATATAGAGTGGGTGATTTGATCAAATAGTTTAGTTCTTATATATGAGAACCAAAGTTTCTGTGCTATGATTATTTTCTGCAGATATGCCAATAAAACTGGAACAAAGATTAAGGCCCTTAGTTGTTCAATGCAAATTATGCAAACTTACGCCTGAAATTGATAAGATATATGATAAACATTATGACAATAATAGTCAGAATAGCAAATATAACATAAGAAACACATGAATTGCAAGAAACAGAGTCTGAGAAATGCTATTACTGTTGTTATCCTTTATGTTGAATCATTGATAAGACCTGTTAAGCTACATAAGTCAGATTTAGATTATGAAATATTTGGACTCATACAAATTCTTGATGCTTTTTGAGCTATTTCAAAGCTTCTTACCCCTACCTACCCTTTTGGTTATTTTCAATTCTCATTTTTTACTGTTGACAGCGTGCAGGTTTGGAGCTGATGGATATGATGGCTGTCTATCAAGAAGGTGCCTATGAACGCCTGTGCAGGTGAAACAATTCCCAAACTTGTGGGATTCTTTTTGGTTATCTTCTTTTTGTTGACTGACTGTTTGACTTTTATTATTCATTCAGATGGGTTCAGACAGAGTGCAGGAGATTGGGGGACACTGATAATCCTGAAGTAAGTGAGCTTCTGAAAATGGCAGTTCGTTCTCTCAAAGAAAGACCTGTACTTTTCAAGTATTGTGCTGAAGAGGTAATTTCCCTTTAAATATTTTTCTCTAAATGCAAAAAAAATAAATCACATGTATTTTGAATATGTAATGGGTAACCTGCTATAATGAGTAGATTTTAACCTACAATGCCCTAATAAGACAAAATGGAAGTACAATTCTATAATAAAATTTGGATACTATTTCTGGCATATTAGGCCCATGGTATTTTGAATACAACTACATATATATTATTATAAAGAGATTTAGGTAAGACATGTTCAAAATACAATGGGCTAAATGCAAGTAATAGTAATGTATTTTATATCTGAAAATCTACTCATTATAAGCAAATGAGGTAACAGGTTTAAACTAAGAAGAAATGAATAAAAAAAGGGTATACTTGTAATTGTAGGTAGCAAATATGAGGCACAATGCACTATTTAGGAGATTTATCAGTGCTCTTACACGTGGTGGGCCTGGTGGCATGCCCAGGCCCATTGAAGTTCATGCCCATGATCCGCTTCGTTATGTAGGTGACATGCTCGGCTGGCTGCATCAGGTATGATATTAGTTTTCAGTATAAACAAACACAAGGGTAAAATGGTCATTTATTTATTTAACTTTTTTTTTTTTTCTGTCAAGTGCAGGCCCTTGCATCCGAAAGAGAACTTGTATTTGTGTTGCTTGATCCAGATGCAGTAGTGGATACTGGACCAACAGCCCGTAAATTCTCCACAAACACCTCAAGCTCAGAGATTAATAATAATAATAATAATAATCAGGAAACGGAAAAGGAAAAGTCAGAAACAGATTTGACCTTTGTTTTGGATAGAATCTTTGAAGGTGTTTGTAGACCTTTTAAAGTCAGAGTTGAACAAGTGTTGCAGTCTCAACCTAATCTTATAATCTCATATAAGCTTAGCAACACCCTTGAGTTCTACAGCCACACTGTAATTTCAATTCTTAATCTTTTTATTCTTTTTTTGTTTTTTCACAATTGTTGTGTGTGTAAGCGATTTTCACAATTATAGGTGTCAGATCTGTTAGGGAGAGAAACAGCACTTTGCAATACACTGTGGGGTCTAAAGGAAGCTGCTCAGAAGACATTTTTTGAGATTTTGAAAGTTAGAGGGGAGAAGCTACTGAGATATCCACCTCTGGTTGCTGTTGATCTTTCCCCACCACCAGCAGTAAGAGAAGGAGTCACTTTGCTGCTTGAATTAATCACAATTCATGACAGCATGATGGTTCCTGCTTCAGGGATTAAGCCCCTCTTTGATCCGGTTATATCCGCTTTGCTTGATCCCATAATTCAGGTAACACTTTCTCTCTCTCTCTCTCATCCCAATTAATCTTAGTTTACTTGGGTTTTTGATGCCTCAGTTTATTCATCTAGATTTGTGAGCAAGCAATGGAAGCTCACAAGTCAAAAGGATCCATCGACTCATCTAGAAGAAACAGAACCAGGTCTGACGTGGCCCAATCGCGAAGATCATCTGTCGATGCTATTTTGACACCCACCCAAGTAGCTCCATCTAAGGTAGGTGTATGTGTGTGTGTGTGTGTTTCTCTTCTTTCTTTTATTTTTGTATATAGACCTAAATGAAGAAATTGCAATGTAGAGCAATGAAACAGCATCAAAGATTTTCATCATCAACTGCTTATGTGCAATCCAACAACCATTACTAAAACACCAAGTTGCAGCATCTGGATACGTGAAAAAACTCGGAGCAATGATCGATAGCCACATGTCCAGCCTTGTGGAAAAGGAAGTGAAGGCTATTTTAACAAAATGTGGTCTCTCAAACAAAATGCCACTCTTCCTTGACACATCTGAGTCAGCATCAGCGTTATCTGAGATGGAAGAAACATCTCCAGCAGCTCTATCTGAGTGTCTCAAAGCCTTTTTTGGCTTGATTTTGGGCAGCGACACCTCCCTGCCCGAATTTGAAGAGATGCAACTGCCACATCTGCGGTCAGAAGCTTCCGTCCAGGTGGCGAGATCGCTGGCGGAAGGTTATGAGGTTATTTATAAGGCGATATTGGATCCTAAGAATGGGTATCTGGATCCTAAGTCCTTGGCTAGGCACCCGCCCGATCAGATCCGGACCATTTTGGGAATTTGATAATTTCACATAGATATTATTATTATTTTTTTTGGAAAAGTGGAATACAATATTTTCTTTTGCTTTAAGTATCATATTTGTTAAAAGTATTGACAAATGGGATACCAATATCTAAATAGCG